GAGGGAGTACTTGAATAGAAGCCCAATGTCTGTCTGCTACCTTAATACTTAACATATAAATATATGGACATATCTATTTCCCTATCATTACATATAAATATATTTGCATATGTACATGCCTGTATTTAGACCTCTCTATATGCCCATTTGCTCAGTGTATCTTAAATGGCAAGAACTCAAGAAACAAACAAACTGCAAGTAGCCAAGATTGAACGATTGTAGGGGGTGGAGTGAAGACCCAAAGCCCATCTGTAGACAATTGGACATCTCTTCACAGAAGGGTCACAAGGAAGGGACGAGCCAGCCAAGCTGCAGTATAGCACCGACGAGTCTTGAATCTTTTTGATTTCTTTCAGTTTAAGAGATGTTGAGCATATTCTTCCTTTTTGGTTTTCTAACTCTAGGTCTTTACACATTTCATTCTAATATTTTACTTTGTTTACTTGAGCTGCTCCTTAGAGAGACTTAGAGAGTCTTAGAGAGACTTCATCTCAAATACTTTGGACCTACTGTCAGGAGAGACCAGTCCCTGGAAAAGGACTTCTTGGTGAAATGGAGGGGCCACAGAAAAGAGGAAGGCCCTTGGTGTGAAGAATTGACACTGTGGCGGCAGCAATAGGCTCAAACATAAGGACCGGGCAGTGTTCTTTTAATAATTTTATTGGGGGTTCTTATAACATTCCGTACATCAATTATATCATGTACATTTGTACATATGTTGCTATCATCATTTTCTAAACATTTACTTTCTATTTGCGCTCTTGGTATCAGCTTCTCCCCCTCCTCCATCCCCCACCCTCGTTTTGTTTTGTTGAACATAGGCCACAATGAATTGAAACCAACCTGATAGCACTTAACAGCATCCTTTTTGGTACATTTATTAGCTGGCATTCTACTGCAAGAAAGAGCTTTCCCTTCTTCCTTATTATTTTTACTTATTATCGGCATGGAATTGCATTAAGTGATTCATCACTGTCATTCTAAAGCTTGAGAATTTCTTGATTCAGCTGGTGAGAGGTCCTTCAAACTGGCTCTTTTGTTTTGCAGAACACGGTATTCCACACTCATTTTGTACTTGTCATGCTAGTGTATTGTAATTAGCCATTTTTAGGAGAGACTTTATTCCTATTAATGGTAATGGTGTTGGACACCCTGATCCGAGTTCCCCAGGTGCTCAGTGCTATGGAGGTACTGCTGTTTCTCAGCCTAGAACTTTGTCTTCACCTCAAAAGGCGATCCCTTTATCATGAGGCAGCCACTCTCTATTCCTTTGCCAGCCTTTGCCAGCCACTAACCTACTTTCTGTGTCCATGGAGTTGCTTATACTGGAGACTTCAAATACATACGGCCACACTTTCCACTTTAGTCGGTGGGTGAACTAGGGAAAAGCAACTTGCCCTTTAGGAAAATTCTTAACGTCATTTATACAGTTCCTAATGGGAGAATCTAATATATTATGTTTCTAGTCAGGCAGTTTTGACCAAATTTCTTCTCTGCTTTTGGCAATCCAGGCTTTATGCTATAGGTTTGATTTTGTCTTTTCGAGATGTATAGCACTCTTCATAGGTCACCTTAGAGGGACCTGATTTGGAAACCCCTAAGTGAACTAGGCTTTACCTTAAACACCTGTTGCAGATGAAAGGAACTGAAACACTCCATTGGACTTAAAGCTGAAACGCCCTAGTGTGAGAAGAAGCAGAGGCTTGCTATCCTAAGGTCATTGGATCATATACTGTCAGAAGAACAAACACATTTATCTTGGAAGAAGTACAGTCAAAATGATGCTTATAGTGGGGATAGCAAGACTTCATTCTACACACTTTGGACATCCTATTAAGTGAGATCATTCCCTGGAAAAGTACATCATGCTTGGTAAAGTAGAAGGGTAGCCAAAAAGAGGAAGGCTTTCAAGGAGATGGATTGACACAGTGGTTGCAACAATGGACTCAAACATAACAACAATTATGAAGCTGGCTCAGACGGGGTAGTTTCCCCCTGTCCTTTTCTGGTGTACATGGGGTTGCTATGTGTCAGGAACAGCCTGAGAGCGCTTCACGCCAACACCGCTGTTCTTCCTATCCAGTAGCTGATGGATAGTTAGGTGGTTTCTACCTTTTGTTTATTGTGAATAGTGTTGCTGTGAACATCTATACATAAGGTTTTCTTTGAACCCAATCTTAGTTATATAACTAAGATTGAAATTGTTGGGTTTATAATAGTTTTATGGTAATTTTTTTTCTAGGAACTGATAACCTGTTTCTTTTATCCCCACAACTATTTTATTGGGAGCTAATACAGATATCATACCATTGCATAGTTTAATCACATCAAGCAGTGCTGTGCAATTGCTACCACAATCAGTTTCAAAACATTTCCTTTCTTCTTGAACTCCCTGATATCAGACTCCCCCCCCCCACTGTACCCTCCCCCCCACGAGGAACACTTATTTTACTTGATGTGTCTATAGGTTCATTAATTCTGGGTTTCATAAACTGAAAAACATATAACCAAATTTCAAGAGGTTTACCACCAGTGACAAAATACATCTGAGATAAACCCCAATATGAAACAAACAAAAATAGAAAATGTTGAAAACCAGAACGGGCCCCAACGTGCATCAGAGGGGGGATCAATTGAGAAGGTTTAAACCGTCCAAGTCAGGTTAATCATTTTGATCTATAGTCATCTCTCTAATCACTCTTCTCACCAGTTTCTTCCCATCCTCTATTAAGGCAAGAGGGAAACCACCAGAGGCTTATTTCCTGTGTGGATCTCACAAATGTATCCTGGGCTCCCACTGTCATCCATGTCTTCTGCAAACTAGAATCTCATAATTTAGGCTCTTATACTATTCCCTCCTCTGGCTTTGGATTATATGATTTACAATCCTTTGGTCACTGATATTGGTGTGCTTCTTCCACGTGGGCTTAGTTGACATCTTGCTTAGGTGGCTGCTTGTTTGGAGACAAGACTTTAAGACCCCAGATGCTATTTTATCTGATATCTGGGCACCAGCTAATTTCGTCACCACCTTTTCCCATGGCACTCCTGTATTCTGTGTTCCCTTCCGGAGGGTGAGTACCAAGTAGGGCCATGATGTAAGAACTAATTGATCTCAAATTGGAGCTAGGATTTAGTGCAAGCCTAAAACCCACTCTTGTATCTATGTTTTTTCTATTTGCCTTTGGCTCCCTTTAGATACCTCCTTGTTAATTTATGGTAGAGTCTTATCAATCATGTCTCTGGAGCATAACGTTCTTCCATTAATATTGTAATTGATTAGTCCCTGGTAGTAATTTTAAAAATAATCTTGAGAGAGGGATATTGGATCAATGTAGGTTAATACCATATCACAATGTCTGAATTATTCACTTGTACAGAATCAATCCTATTTACACAAACAAAGGAGTGGTTGTCAGGTAAAGTTTACAATAATATTCACTGAGAATGTCAGTCACAGGAATCACCTGTTGTTTTCTGTCTCTCTGTTGCTGGGCCCTTTGCTGCATACCCATGACAGAGATTTCCCTTTATACCATCAGTCTTCTGAATTAATATTTTGTTAATAGTCAGGTCCAATATTTTGGTAATTAGCACTGGTAATAGTGAGTCAGGAGCGACCACATATTGAACTTCAAATAGAGAAAATGACAAGTATTAATATGATAACTTTGTGTCTGCTCTCCTGGCTTAGTCAATGCATTGGGCTGTCAGAGGTAAAAAAGATCTGATGTTGGAAGAACCTGACCAGACTCACGCCAACAAGACTGAAAACGAGGACTGGAACGCGCGAAGACCAGTCAATAAAGAGGAGAGGCGTTCAAGCACCGAGGAAATAGAGCAGAAAGCATCCGCGTCCCTGGAGAAGGGACGCTCCCCACAAAGTCCAGATTCTCCAGGTAAGTCCTGTCACTTAGCTTTGCTGAATGCTAAGGTCTGACATTAAAGGGCTTGCTTTGTATTATATTCATGCTTAACCTTTTCCAATTTGTGCGGTGGTGGCAAGTTTAAGGAATGGCTTAGTACTTTAAAGGATACGTACTTAACATTGACACAAAAACTGGAAGATAGGTACTTTAGTTCAATCCTTTTTCACCAAGGAAACTGTGAGACATTTCAGGGGGGTTTTCAACTCCATGTAAAAAGCTTAGCATGTTTAACTGGTCTTCAAATCTAATTTGAAATTGCTATCTTATTATCTTTTCTTTTTCAATGAGTGTGGCTTTTAAAAGATGAGGCTTTCTACTCCCATTGAGAGTTACAGTCTCAGAAACCCGCAGCGGCATTGTCTACCCTGTCCTGTAGGCTTGCCATGAGTCAGAGTCGACTTGATGGCAGTGAGTTTGGTTCTAGGGTGTTCAGGAACCTTCTGCTTCAAGGCTAAGTTCTAATGGGATACGGATCCTCATAATCCTGGAAATCAACACTATTAATTCAATTCATGTCAACCCTCACTGGCCATAAATGTTCTTGGAGTTTGATTAAGGGGTCTCTGCTGATTGTCTAAGAGATCCTTCTGTAGAGGCGGCACTTTGATGGCAGTAGCCATGTAACTGGAAATGGTTATAATATAACTAACGGATCAAAGCAGAAGCCTGAATTCAAGACAAACAACTTTTTAAGCAAACACAAATCTACAAACAATTCCTCTACCCCTTCTCTAAGCAAACATGCAAATGTTCCTCAGTTCAGCCCTGGAATGTTCAGATCTGGGCTCCCTGAGCCTCTGTGGTTTTCGGTTTCCGTCAGAATCAGGCCATCAGAATCAATCAGGTCAGGTGGAGTTCCCTAAAAGTGCGAAGTTTGAACACTTCAGGACTAACTAGGCATGACGCTGGGGCCCTATCTGAGCCTTCTCATAAGCTTCTGTGAATTTTTCTTTCTCTTAAAATAGTTGTTTCCATATTTAAAAGATCCCAGCAATCATATGATCTTACTTTAAAAATTTAAAAAGTTATATATAGGCAATGACAGTGTGTACTCCATCACCCCATTCTTCTGTGTACCCTGAAGTAGCCTACAGCTTGTTATGTTAATACACCCCTAAGTCCATGTAAATGCACATTTTTTGTGAGATCTTTGAAAAAAAGAGCAGGGTTATGGGCACTGGAGCTGGACCAGGTTCAGATCCCAGCTTTTCCATTTACTTATTATGTGACCTTGGGAAAGCTAGGTTTGTACTCAACCTTAGTAAAAAAAAAAAAGTGATAAATACATGTGTGACAAGACATTTGACATTCCAACGTGTTTTTCATGTCAATCCAGCGTCATTAGTTATGTCCATCTTGCTGTGCAAACATCCCTGATTTTTCCCATCACACTTAACAGAAAGGCTGTGTCCCCTAGACATGGATTCTTCAGTTTTCCATGGTAAAAATATTAGTGTCTACCTCCTACTTTTTTGTGTGTGTATGTGTGGAGAGTAAGTGACTTAATATATATACGTGTTTAGACCAGTGTGGGAAACATGAGAAGCGAGGGTTTGCTTTTTACTGTTAGCTTCTGTTATTTCTCTGAAATCCTTACCTTCAGAGCTGGCTCATTCTTTCTAACAGTCTCTTTAATATTCTGCAGTGTCGCTATGCCATAGCTTTATCCGAATAAATTGTGATGCCAATTTTGATGCCCTCACAGTGTGCCTCTTTCTCCTGTGGTTGAAGAATGAAGTGGAGTGGGGGAGGGGAGGGAACAGCATCTCTGAGAAGTTGCTGGTGAGTGAGAGTTACGAAATTCTGCCAAAGAATGCATTTACCAGTGTTTCTTGATGCTGTGTAAGAGATTATTGGCTGTTCTGAGTAGAGTCTTAAATTTGGAGTTTGATATACCAAAGTGCCGTTGCATGGTTATTTATGATTTCATTTTGCTGCAGTGCGCGCTTTATGTCAGCGCTGAACGACTGTCGCTCATGTCCACTTCCGGGGGCCCGAGTAGCTTCTCAGAGAGCACCTTCTCAGCACATTTGCTGACTTCCTCAAGCAGCGCTTGATGCTTAATTTGGAGTCTTCCCTGCGATGGCTTTTTTTGTGTGTGATAAGCAGCCACCGTGTAGCCCCCACCAGTAAATATAAAGCGCGGCATCTAAAAAGCAACGTGCACGGCCATCTCATTTTTACGTCCTTTCCATTTAACACTGTAATACGCACCATGCCAGGGTTAAATCGTTTTGTGTCGCACAGTAGCATCTTGGAGCAAAAACACATAAATAAATAAAGGCAGTTGGTGGTGTTTATGTGCAACTGTGTCCCTCCCCTGGGCCCCTACCTTTCCAGACACTGGCCACCCTGTGGCTCCCACGACAAGCTTTGTGTCTGTGCGAGAGGACAGTCTTTAGCAACCATCCCTGCTTAGCAGCAAAAGGGCAGGTGGAAAGAGCTAGGGACAAACTTAGAACAGTCAACAGCCAATCAGGAATGGGATTGGGAGGCTAAATTCCCTGGCTCTTCATCCTCTATGGATGAAGTCACTCCGAGGTGTTTTTGTATTGTTTCCCCAGATGCCCAGGTTACGCTTGGGGGTACCCTGCTCAATGACATCCCCTTCTCCAACACTTGGGATCACTTCCAAAATTAGTCAAAACTTTAGGAGAATCCAAACTGGACAACATTAAAAAACAACAACAACAAAAACCCGCCCCCAAATAAAAAAATGACAACTACAAAAATGACAGCTAATTATTATAGAAATCTGAGATCATGATTAAGTAAAAGAAACTACAACTCATAATCTTATCACCTAGAGAAAAAAAACAACTAAGGACTATTGCGACTTTGAATCCTATTTTTGTATATGTTAAAACCCAGTGCCACTGAGTCCATGCTAACTCATAGTGACCTTTAGGCTGTGAAACCCTATAGAGTTTCCAAAGCGGTCCATCTTTAAGGGAAGCAGCTTGCCGCACCATTCTCCCCAGGAGCGGTTTTGAACCGCCAGCCTTTCTTTTAGTGGCCGAGCACTTGGGGCTTGGACCGCCAAAGTTTCTCTCAGCATCCAAGCACTCAGACATTTCTGTAAAAGTACAAATAAATCCTGTTTTGCCCAACCAGCATTTTAGACAATGTTTTAAAGTATCAATGGAAACAGTTTATATATTATCTAGTAGCCTACTTTTTTTGGTTACAATATTTTGGACATAAAACAGTATCACAAGGAATATTGGGGAAAGAAAGAAAATACAGATAAACCAAAAAAACTTGAACTCACTGCTGTCCAGTCAGTTACAACTGAGAGGCCCTATGGGACAAGGCAGACCTGCTCCTGTGGGTGTCTAAGCCTGTAACTCTTTATGGGAGTTGACAGCTGTAACTCTTTACTGACCACTCTTCTTGCAGTGGCTGGTGATTTTGCACTGCTGACCTTGTGGTTAGCAGTCCAAAGAGGAATCCACCATGCAACCAGGGTTGTTTAACTAACTAACTAACTAAAAAAAAATAATAATAATAATAAAAAAAAAAATATATATATATGGAAAATTACACCTATATTGCTAACATTTTGGTATAAATTATTGTGGGATTTAAAAATTACTTTTTAACATAAAAAGTATTCATATAGCTACATGAATTTAAGAATGAGATTATACTATATATGAACTCTGTTGTAATTACCATTGTCTTATATATATGGTATAAGCATTTTTTATACAGCAATAAATATTACTAAATTGTTAAAGTTTGGAAATGTAGCCAAGATTGCATTGTTGAGAATTTAGGTTGTTTCTTGATTTCTTGGAAAGGCGCGCTGGTGGTGAAGTGGTTACACCTGCCAGGTCAGAAGTGAAGCAAACACAGGCCCAGTTCTCCCCTGTCCGACAGTCTCTGTGAGCCCGAGTAGACTCGAGGGCAGGGAATTTGAATTGAGTTTGCTTTTTAACATCCATCACCTGTAGCGTGATACACATCTTCACAGTTAAATCCTTGGGAAATCCTTAGGAAGATTTCTAGGTGTGAATTTTTGGGGTCAAAGGTTAGATACATTTTAATGATCGCCATAAATATTGTCAAATTTGCCGACTAGGAGAATTTGGCCAAATTACGCTTCCTCTGGTTTTTTCTAGTTTTCCACAATGTTGTTTATTTTAATTAAAATAAATCTTACTATCATGGATCGAATGACTGGTTTTCCAGCGATTCACTACCATTGACCTTTTACGTCGGACAGCTGTTAGAAAGTTCTTTCCAATTTCTTTGCTGGCGAATTGTCAAAAGGCCTACCACTGGAAACATCCATACATTGTCATTTATTATTAAGTCTATAAGCCGGTGAGGTCCTGTCGCCCATAAAATTGAAACTCTTGTTCATAAGCATTCAAAAGTCTGCCGAAGTTAATGTGCTTCCATAAAATATTAATAATTCATACCAACGACCGACTCTTAGGGTTTTGATGTTGCCGTGAAATCTTTTCCCTGGCCGCGCCGAGTGCTTCTCCTGTGGCCGCTCGGACTTCTCTTCTGCTCCCGATGTTCACATCGCCCTTCCTCTCTCCGTGCCTTTTCAGACGCGAGCTGCGGGCACCTGCGATTCCGCTGGTCTGGAGACGCTCCCTCGGAACTTCTGCGGAAGTTCAGAAACTACGAGATATGACCTTCCTGGGATCACGCGACAGGGAGGGATCCGACCAGCCCTCGCCGTGGAGTCTTCGTTGCCCCTCAACGTTCCGTGGGGTTTGTCCCGTCTGTGAATTGCCCGTTAATTCTTCCATTCATGAACCCGTTCTCACAGTGTGAAACGTTCAGAAGAGTAATTTCTCTCAATATTCTCATATACTAATATAAAATACTCATATTCTCATATACAATATTCTCATTCACTCTTTCCTGTGAATGTTATTTATAGAAACCATTTACATATTGATCTCTGTATTTAAATACTTCATTGGTATATTATGATCTCTTAATGCTGGAGGTATCAGGAATGCTTTCTCTTGATTAAAAATGAAACGTGAAATGACATGTCTAACTCCCATGCAGTGCAATAAACACTTTCTTCAAAATTGTGTTCTAGCTATGAAAATGGGGCTGAGGGTTGTATGTATCCTGTGGTTGTTTTCCTAGTATGTGGACAAATAGGAAGGAAAAGCCGAGAAGGAAAAAGAAGTAAGAGCAAGGTCTCCTTAGTTACCGAGTTCTCACTGGTTCTTGACAAAATGAGAAAACTATAGCAACTTCTTGGGAAAGCCAGGGAGAGTCCCTGGGTCATGTGAATGGTTACCAACCTCAACTACGAATGGAACGCTGGGAGGTTCAAGGCCACCCGAGGCACCGTGGAAGAATCAGCCTCTGAGAGCCCCATGCAGCAGTTAGACTCACGGTGTTACACACGGTGACTCCGGAGCTGCTCCCAGTCAGTGATTCATGGACTCCTAATGGACTCCCTGCAAACTGATTGGAAAAGCTAAATTTATCAATGAAGCAAAGCAAGCTCAAACCCATTGCCACGAAGCCAATTCCAATTCATAATGACCCTGTAGATATAGGATTGGGTAGACATGTTCCTTCCGGTTTCAAAGATTCTAATCTTTTTTTTTTCCCCCCCAAAGATTCTAATCTTTAAGCGAGCAGACGACCTCATCTTTCTCATGCGGAATGGCTGGTGGGTTTGAACCACTGCCCTGGCGGTCGGAATTTACTATACTCCCAGGATTTATTTCTCTATAAAGGGCCCTCCTTTACTCAGAAATTATGTCCATCTTACGTTTGAGGTCTAACATGTGTTTCTTTTTATGAAATAGGGTCACAGTAGATGAAGATTTTCTGTTTTAAATACAGCCCTATATTGGTCATCTCAACTTCATGTGAAATGTGGATTTCATCAAATCCCAACGTTTTGGGAATTCTTCTATCGACATTTTACCACTTTAGTAAAATGTGGCTTGGCATTATTACTGTATCTGCAACTTCTACTTCAAAACATTAAAATATAAATGAAAACGACATAGTTCATTAAGTAAATAATAGGTGAAAGTCACATGTCTCCATAGAAATGCCTGGCCCAGAGTAGGAACTCAACTAGATTGAATAGATTTATTTTTGAAGCTAAGAATCAGAGTTTTGAGTTTTTTCTTTTCTACCCAAAGAAAAGAACTGATGAGAAAAAAGCTGATTTATTTATTTTTATTAAAAGATAATTTTATTGGGGGCTCTTAAACAACTCTTATAAAAACCCATACATCAATTGAATCAAGCATATTTGTACATATGTTGCTATCATTATTTTTTAGACATTTACTTTCTAGTGAGCCCTTGGTATCAGCTCCTCTCCCTCCTCATGGTGATCCCTTGATAAATTGTAAATTATTATTATTTTCATCGCTTACACTGGTCCTTGTCTCCCTTCCCCCACAGTTTCTGTTGTTCGTCCCCTGGAGGGGGTGAGTGTGGTTATGTGTCCATTATTGCAGTCAGTTTCCCCTTCCTTTCCTCCTTTCCCTACTTCTCTGTATCGCTACTCCCATTCCTGTTCCTGGAGTCCAGAGCTCTGATCTCTTATCTTTACCTGTTCACATGTTCTGGTCTAGCCCACAGGGAAAGGCAATACTGGGGTCATGATAGTGGGGTGGGGTGGGGTGATGAAGCCTCAAGGAACCAGAGGAATATTGTGTGTTTCATGGTTGCTTTACTGTGCCCTGGTTGACTCATCTCTTCCTTGTGACCCTTCTGTGAGGGGGTGTCCCATTGTCAACAGATGAGTTTTGGGTCTCTGCTCTGACCTCCAAAGCTGATTTATAGAAGTGATGCGTTTTAGTGATTTGTCCAGGGGGAAAAATCCATCCTTATTCCACACTGTTTTCAGTATAGATCATTTCACACTTATTATTATTTTTAAAAATCATTTTATTGGGGACTCTTACAGAGAAGACTGAGCACTAGTTCTTGTGATGCTTGATACTGCCAATGAGAAACAGCGCCCTTTAATGGGGATTTAGGTCCTGAGTGGTAACTGACTACTAAGTGAAGAACTGGTTGTTAAAAAACAAACCAGAGCTACCTCAGAAGATAGGCCTGGCAATTTACTTCACAGAAATTCTTGAAAACCTATGGAGCAATTCTACACTGCACATATAGGTTTACCATGCGTGAGACATGGAATTGACTGCATGCAACCGTCACCACTGCCCGTGTTTATGATGGGCTTATGGGGGTTCACGATGGGTCAGGCTTGTGCCAGGCTGCCTCTTGCTTATCTTTCCTTAAATATCTTGCACATTTACACATACACAATGTATTTTTATTCTTTCTTTTTAAAACACATATTATGTAGCAGTTTTACACCTTGCATTTATCCAGATCATTGAATAGTGTCTTGAAGATTTTTGCATCTTAGTACATAAATATTACACTATTTAAAAAAATCTGCTGCATAACATTTCATTGTATGGGTGAGCCATGATTTACGTAACATGCTGTAAGGAGGGTGGGTGGTTGAGGGTGGGGAGTACATCTGATTTCCTTTGATATCACAACACAGAAGGAATTTCAAATTCATTGTCAGCCCAAGGGCAATTAAAATAAAAAAATTTTTTAACCATTTTATTGACATTTAATTTATTTACCATACAATTTAGTGGTTTAAATATGTTAAAGAGTTGTGCAATCACCACCATCAATTTTAGATAATTTTCTTCATTCTCGGATCCATTATTATTAGTTCCTCATTTTCCACAACATCCTCTGTCATAACCCTAAAGAGTTATTCATCTAGTTACTGTCTCTATAGATATATCTAGCCTGGATTTCATATAAAGAAAATCATGTTTAAAAACCGAAACAATGACAAAATAAAACAATAAAAAACCCTCAATCCCAAAGAAAGCAGAACATAGTTAAAAATAGAACAAGTTATAAATGAGTCAAAATGGAAAAAATGGGAAAGATGTTGAATTTTAACTTAATTATATTTGTAGTAATCTACTTTCCAATACCTTCTATCTGAGGACAAGAATATCCACATTTCTGATCATTGGTCTGGTAGGGTTTAGTGGAGGCTTAATTCTCATGGGTGCTCAGAATTTAAGCTCTACTACAATTTCCTCCTCCAGTTTTGGATGTTATTATTTACAGGTGTTGGGTCACACAGGCTGACTTGCTTATTCTGTGTGGATTTAGCTGACATCTCACTTAGAAGCTTGTTTTAAGATAAGATTTTAAGACCCAAGGCATTATTTTTTCTGGTAGCCAGAAAACTACGAGTTCTTCTCTACATTTTGCTATAGCACCCATATCTTCAATGATCATTTCGTGAAGAAAAATATTGAGTAGGGCCATATCAAGAACTTTTTCTTAGATTAGGATTTATGATGAAATGCAAGCTCAAAATCCATTTACATATGTAAGGTTTAAATATATCCCTCTGTCCAGCTTTGGAAAGTGTTACAAAGCAGCCTGAGGTGCTAGGCTCTAGCTCCCTTGGATCTAGCTCCCCCAGTAAAGTGACTGGAGGCAACCCACTCAGCAAATGGGCTTCCTTCTCAAAGGCACGCAGCTCTACTCTGTGGGCTCTCTTGTCTAGCTGCTGCTGCTGCTGCTACTCTGGTATCACGGCTCATTGTCACCTGACCGGAGGAAGTTCAGTGTGCAGGGATCTTGGAGTTCAGAGAAGGCACTCCATTTTTTGCTTGCTCTTTATGGCAATGAGATCCCCATTCCTATGTTTCAGATGGCTCATTTAAAACCCAACAGTACGACAGAATTGTAGGGTGGCAGAAGTGTTTAATCCTTTAGTTTCATAAAAGCTAACTGTGTGTTTCCACTTTGGTGGAAGTTACAAAGACTGATGAGAAGAACCATACCAAGTAATCTGCACCACACATGCGCTCTATTGATACATTTTAAGCTCATATAAAATGTTTTGCAAGCACAAATAACACTGTGGTGCACAACTTTGTATGTAGTATTTCTTTGTGTGTGTGTGTATGTGTGTGTGTGTGTGTGTGTGTGTGTGTGTGTGTGAAGAATACCTGTGGGGTAAATACCTAGCATTGAAGCTGCGGAATCAAAGGATACATCTGTGCCTTTAGAACAGCTGTTCTCAACCTGTGGGTTGCAACCCCTTTGGGGTTTTCACAGTGGTTGCCTGATTCATAGCAGTAGCAAAATGACAGTGATGAAGTAGTAACGAAAATAATGTTATCATTTGCGGGGTCATCACAACACGAGGAACTGTATTAAAGGGTCGTGGCATTAGGAAGGCTGAGAACCACTGATATAGAATTTGATTGCCATACTCCTAAGCATACAGCAGTTGACAGGTTTTTGAGATCTTAGGACAGGTGGATTGGAAAACCCAGAAAATACTACATGCTCATGGGATTCTTGCCAGATATAAAAGCTGGTCCTTTAGCCTTTTCTCACTCTAGGAGAGATTTTGTGTGGCTCAGCCTGAAGCGTGGTGCTGTTGGAACAATTTACCCTGTACCTCCTCTGACCCCCAATAACAGGGAGGGCCCACGGTATAAAACAATAATAAAACCAGAGTACATGTTTCTCCCGGCACCTTCCACACAGCCGAGAAGAAAACAAGACTTTCTTTCAGTGTTACATCATTTACTTGCCTTCTGGGGGTCCCAAAATGTTGAAATACAATTCTGAAACTGGTTTGCTCTTTCAAATAAAGGGCACCCCAGCAAAGCAGTGCTGGAAAGCCTAGGCAGAAATCACAATTTCCTGTGACCCCATAGTTTCCAGTCTCCAATGGACACATTCTCAGCCTGTCAAAAATATGCCATCTGATGAGCAAATTAGCAATGCAAATAAAAAGACTTTGCAGATAGTGCTGGTAAAGAGAGTTGGGGAAGGAGAAGATAAGATTGTTTTCCCGCTGAAGAATATTCATATCCTTTCTCTGCAGATCTCCTGGTGGTTACAAGATCAATCATAGCAGCAAGTGTCGATGACTAATGCAATTATTGAGAGGGGTCTTTAATTTCCTGGAGGCAAACACCATGACCGTCCACCTCCAGATCACCAACAAGGAGATGCCAGGACTACTGGGGAATCAGTGATGGACGAAATTATAAAACTGATGCAGTTATGGGGAAAAAATGATAAAAAGCCTCACAATGAAAGGCTTCAATTCCCTCCAATTCCAGCATTAGTGATATGCATCAGTGTGGCTGTCTTCAGTGTTATTACTTCTCTGCTTTCTGTGTCAGCTCAGCCTCATTGTTTGGGAATAGTTTTACACCAGGCAGCTCATTCTCCTGCTTTCTCCTCCCACCTGGGCTGCTTTGTTGCTTCCAATGTTTTTGCTTTGGTTATTAGCTGACAAAAACGAATCTTCTCACAGAGAAATGTAGGTAAGAGATTGACAGAAAACTGGATCTTTCGTTGGCTCTCACCTATTGTGGGACTCAGGGCAAATGATTCAAGCACTCTGATCCAGTTTTTTCAGCCTGTCACTGGGGGGAAAATAACAAAACAAAACTCATTTTCTAAAAAAAACCCAAATCAACAACAACAACAAAACCCCTCACTCAGAATATCTGTCAAATATTAAGGCCAGAGTTGGTGTCTGGTGTGAAAAAAGATAGAATGGGAATTGGCTCACAGTGTGTTCACCTAAAGTAGACATGAGAACAGCGAAGGCATGTCTTTACCATCATTTCCTTCTAATAGGTCTTCTTTCTTTACTGCTCTTTTAATAAAAGAGTAGCAACAGAAAGGGAGAGACGACGGTTGTAATGAGCTTGCCTTTTTAATAAGGATAATTTATGATTATATATATATATGTAAACGAAAACCAGACTCCCTGCCATCGAGTTGATTCTGACTCACAGTGACCTTATAGGACAGAGAACTGCCCATGAATGTCCTTGTTTGTAAATCTTGATGGACGCAGTCTCATATTTCTCCTGAGGGGCAGCTCATGGGTTTGAACCACTGAACTCGGTTAGTAGTCCACCTGACAATGCCACCCGGGCCCCTTAAAATTGATCTCTAAAACAAAACCAACCAAACCCACTGACCCACCAACCAACCAACCAAACACAAACTCACTTCCCTTGAGTCGATTCTGACTCCTAGTGAGTTTATAGGACAGGGTAGAACTGCTACTTTGGGTTTGCAAGGCGTAGACCTTCGGGTTTACAAGAGGAAAAAGTCTCATCTTTGTCCCTTGCCATGCCTGGTGGGTCCAAACTACCCATAGTGGTGTGGTTAG